AAAAAATGCTAATTTGAAGAGGCACATGCACCCCAATGTTTATAGCGGCACTATCAATAATAGCCATATTATGGAAAGAGCCCATATGTCTATAGACTGATGAATGGATAAAGAAGATATATACAATGGAATACTACTTGACATTCAAAAAGAATGAAATCTTGCCATTTGCAATAATGTGGATATAACTAGAGTGTATTATGCTAAGCAAAACAATTCAGTCAGAGAAAGACAAATACCGTATGATTTCACTCATGTATGGAACTTAAGAAACAAAACAGATGAACATAGGAGAAGGAAGGAAAAATGAAAAGGGAGTGGGAGGCAAACCATAAGAGACTCTTAAATACAGAGAACAAATTGATGGGAGGTAGGTGGGGGGATGGGCTAAGTAGGTGATGGGCATTAAAATGGGCCCTTGTTGGGATGAGCACTGGGTGTTAAATGTGAGAGATGAATCACTGGGTTCTGGTCCTGAAACCAATAGTACAATGTATGTTAACTAACTTGATTTTTAAATAAATAAATTTTAAAAGAAGATGATATCTTAGAAAAAAAAAAGTATGGAGGTAAATGTTTAAGGTACAATCCATTACCTTTTTCAGTAATCCTTCACTATTCTTCCATTAGCCCACAAACTTTTTAGCTTGAAATGAGAGCACTTGCGGTCATGTTCCCTCTTTGGAATGTCTTGGTCTCAGTGTCTGGTTTTTCTCAGCAGCTAATGAAGAACTGCTTCAAGAACAGGCAACCCATTGGTCCTTTCTCTTTTCCCTTCCCCAAGACTATTACATTGATCACAGAAAAGGTTTAGTTTGCCTTTATAGTTTTGCTAGTTTGTAACCCCCTTCTTATTTTTCTTTAATGCATGCTAATAGCCAATTATAAACTAAATTCCTTTCTCAAAAATCAGCAATTGAGTTAAAAAAAAGCAACCCTTGGAGGTTATACTGGCCTTCCTCTGTAGATTTTTAGTTTAAATCTTTAGTTTAAATCTTAATATATAGTTTCTTTGCAATTTCCAGAAAACGTATTTGTATTACCAAAGATGGATTATAGTAATTACCACTAATTTCCGTAATCAAAATGGATATAATTTTCTTGGGAATGATGACTTTAATTTTTAAAATTCACTTGCCAGCATCAGTAATCTTCACACTGCTGAGGGTAGAGTTAGGGGAGAGAAAGAGGATAAAATAATGGAGATTGTTGTGGTCCCAGTTTGTATTTTCATCTACAGTTACTAATTGTTTGACAGTTACAAAAGGTTTTAGAATATGAACTCTGCAACTGTATTTTTAAGGTATTCATTAAAACCAGTTATGCAAGTCTCCTGGTGCTTGCTCTGTTGCTCAGGCACCTAAATGACCTCAATCTCCTGTGTCATGCTATTTTTGAGCAAGGAGAAATTGCTTGAGGCCAGACTTTACAAAAATGGAGAGGAAATTGTATGTATAGGAAAAAAGTCCCTATGTGTTTAACTGACCACTTTACCAGTTACAAGAAAGATTCTTCTAACTCAGTAGCTTTAGCTGTCAAAGAAGAAATAAGAAGTACAGAATAAGTCTTAGGCTAAAATAAGAAAAAATACATCTTATGCATAAAATACATTTATGTGCAAAATGGATAGTGCTTGCACAGTTTTTACATAATTTTTAAGAGATATTTAAGGGAGGCAAAAGATCAGATTAGCAAACTTTTCTTCTAGAGATCAACAGGAGAAACTTTTAAATAACACTACATACAGCTTTCATCTTCAGAAAGTAAAATTCTTTCTAATGTCCAGTGGGAATAAAATGATTTCCAAATTATTTCTCTAGAATGTGGTAAAAATATATTTTGAATAGACATTAAATAAAGGATTCCTAGTTCCAATCAAAACAAAAGAGGTATGGAATCAACATGACATGGTGGAAAGAACAATGAAAAGGGGAGGAGAAAATTTAGATTCTAGTCTAGGTTCGTCACTTTAATAGCTGTGTGGCCTTGGGAACCCTTAATTCATAAGCTACTATTTCTTCACTGGCAATGGAGGAATAAGAATGTATGGCCCACCTTCCTCACAGGGTTTTCTGATGAACATTACTTAGGAATACTGAGAAATGATCTGCCATAACAGCCACCATCAACCCCACTTGTTCCAGGAATTGCCCCAAAGAGAAGCAGAGGATTTTCCCTTCCTCTTTTTGAAATGTCTCTAAACTTCTGCTAGCCTTTTTATAGTCAGCCAAAGACTGTCAGTTTATCTGAAGACCAATTGGAAAGTCTTCTTCTACTTCCAGAATCCCCACCTTTATGGAACACTTGCCAATCAGAGATTGTCTCAGTATTTCCTGCATAATACTTAGTCTCCTTACTAAAACTTTTGAAACTCTGTTGAAACAAAAGATGGGTTTCCTTGCTACAAATCTTTATACCTTTGTTAATATTGTCTTGGACTTAATTTTTCATTGATAACATTTATGTGTTAGCATTTATAATGAATGTTAAATATAAGACTGCTGCTTCAGAATTTTAAATTTGTTGAAGGAGATAGTAAAACCTAAAACTAAAAATTTCAGGAATCAAACTTAAAGTTCATTTGGGAAAGCATACTCTAAGGAGATATCTGTTTTCATGCTTCACAATTTAGGCCTCTCAAATTTGATAATAATCACTAATTTATAAGGGCTTTATGCATACCATTTTGGTGCCAGTTTAGTGTATCTCTCGAGGCTGACTGTCTGGCTTTGATCCCTGGCTTTACCACTTATTAGCTATATGATCTGGGGCAAGTTACTCAGTGAATGCTAACATTTATGGAGCACTTACTATAGGTCAGGCACAAACATCTTATGTGAATTATGGATTATTTTACTGAATCCTCAATGAGATTAATATTATTCCCATTTTAGAAAATCTAGAAAGGTCAAGTAATTTTCCCAAGATTACACACGTAACAGTTAACACATAAACAAAACAAGAGTTGTTAATAGCATATAGGTCAATGTGTTGAAATGATTATATGAGACAAAGCTTGTAATGTGTCTAACTAACCAACACATAGGAAGTATTCAGTAAATATTCCATTGTTCTTATCGATGTTACTAGGTGAGCATAATTAACTACATTGTTAAGATAGGAAACTTCAATTGATCTTAAAAAACCAAACCAAACCAAACCAAACATAATACTAGAAAGAGTGAATTGACACATTGGTACTCTAAAATAGAGACCATTAGATTAGCCAGATAAAAATTTCATAAGCTTTTTTTTGGATGGAGAAATAAAATGCTCTTTACTTGAATCCTTGCAATTGACACAGGAGAATGTCGAGAATGTCTCTAGTGGGAGACATGTAGGGGCAGTTGTGAAACAAAGGCAATAACTAGAAGAATTATAATGGTACACTGTTGAGGGGTTGAGTTTGTGGAGTGGCATACCCACCTATGACTCATTGCTGTTCTAGATTTACTTCATTAGAGGTCAATATTTAAAACTATGAGATATGGGGAGCCTTATATCATGATTCAATATTTGAAATGCTAGTGACTTATAGATTATATAAGTTGTTTGAAGGATTGGGAAAATAGTAGTGGCCTCTAGATTATAGTCTACCATAGCAGGGCCTTGTTACATAGATTAATAGAATCATCTCAAGTAAGTTTGGCTAGTCAGTGAGGTAATATAGAAAGATCTGGGTTCCTCAAAAAACTAAAAATAGAACTACCCTACCACCCAGCAATTGCACTACTAGACATTTATCCAAGGGATACAGCTGTGCTGTTTCAAAGGGACACATGCACCCCCATGTGTATAGCAGCACTATCAACAATAGCCGAAGTATGGAAAGAGCCCAAATGTCCCTCGATGGATGAATGGATAAAGAAGATGTGCTATATATATATACAATGGAGTATTACTCAGCAATCAAAAAGAATGAAATCTTGCCATTTGTAACTATGTGGATGGAACTGGAGGGTATTACGCTAAGTGAAATTAGTCAGTCAGAGAAAGACAAAAATCATATGACTTCACTCATATGAGGACTTTAAGAGACAAAACAGATGAACATAAGGGAAGGGAAACAAAAATAATATAAAAACAGGGAGGGGGACAAAACAGAAGAGACTCATAAATATGGAGAACAAACTGAGGGTTACTGGGGGGGTTGTGGGAGGGGGGATGGGCTAAATGGGTAAGGGGCACTAAGGAATCTACTCCTGAAATCATTGTTGCACTATATGCTAACTAATTTGGATGTAAATTAAAAAAAATAAAAAATAAAATTAAAAAAAAAGAAAGATCTGGGTCACTGCTGGGAATTTAAAACCCCAGTAGAAGTGGCGCTACTTCAGAAGAGTCCTCTGAGGATGTAAACGAAAAAAGCAAGAGGGGGAAAAGGGGGCCAAGAGGGATATCAAAAACACATTGTGCTTAGTTTATCATTTTTCTTATTTCAGCCCCAGTTTTAACAGTGTTCATAAAAGAACAATGATTCCATTTACCTAATCCCAATTGATTAATTGATATAAACACTTTAAGTGCAAGGCATTGTGAAGGTAATAGGAATTTAAGACCAGGTAGGAGAGGACTAGGGTCATTTCAGGCCAATAAATGAGCTGTTTTGAGCTCATTTATTTAAATTGTACCCTGTAATAGTTGCCTAGACATTTAAACTCTGGGCCTCAGTTACTTCATATGTAAAATGAAAATTTTGAACCATATGATCTCTGGGGAATTTTGCAGCATTAAAATGTTATGATTCTCTTTGACTTACTTTTAAGGAAAAAGTATGAACCTCTTTAGTTAATAAAGAATCAAGGAAATAAGCTCTTATCTTACAAGGGTGCATCCAAATGGATATGTGCATATGTACATACTTAACCACATATATACATGTTTGGCATAGTTTGAGACATAATGTTTGGCATTATGAGGATTATCATGAAAAAATACTAGTAAAACTGGAATGAGTGACATAAGATTGAAGTGATATCCAACTTAAAAAGTATTTGCAGCATGAAAGAACATAATAACACAGATGCTTTTACAAGGAGAATCTTCTGGCTAAAGGTTAGGGGGATGTAGCAATTCATGTAAGTAAAGTTCAAATTTTATTTACTCAAAAAGTAATAGCATCCTTTGCTCTATATCCCTGTGTCCTTAAGACTATAACAAATCATCCTTGAGTTTCTTGTCCATAGTTTGAAAATGGCTTTATCCTAAGAATTTTTCATTTTGATAAGTGTTTATCTCAGAAAGATTAAGCCAGGATTCTCTAAACTCACCCTTGGGAAGTATCTTAATTTAGTTTTTCAAATTACTCAACCACTGCCAATGTTATTTTGACAACTTCTTATTCAAGAAGTCTCATGAATTTAAAAGTTTATGTATAGCCAACAGATCTATTCCTCATGAGATATGGGATCTAAGGCAGTGAGACTCCATTCTTTCTTATTAGTGGAAGTGACAAGACTTACTAGAAACTGAAACAATGGGGTCAAGCACTGAATAAAGAAAAAGGAAAAAAGCAAGGCTGGGAGACTCTCAACCCAAACTAAAACATTCATGATGTCCTATAAAGAGATGGTTGTAGTTGGAGTTTCTGAGTAACAGAACACTATTTAAGAGAAACTGCTGATGATCATAAAAAGTTATAAGCAATGACAGGAGAGCCAAGGACAGAGAAGAGAAGATGAATTCTTCTTGTCTTGTGTAAATGGAAGGCCTCAATGCTTTTCAGTATGATTTGTTTAAGCTGCTTGTGGTTATCAGTGGGATACACAAGAGAGATAGATCAAATTTCAAAAAACAATTTGAAATTTTTGATTATTTCTGCATATCCAGTAATAAAGACAATGAAGAAATAACCAAAAGTTTAAGACATTCACATGCTTATAAAATGTTTTCACTTATTCATTATTCTTACTTTAATAAGCACATAACTTGAGTATCCTTCATATTCTAATCACTGGATGAAATACAAGAAAAAAGAAAAAGGTCCTTGCCCTTAAGGTGTTTAAAATCTATTTGGAAGTAAAATATAATGCTTTTGTTTTGATTAATTCTCCATGTTGCTCTAATAAACTAACTCATGTGAAGCTTAAAAATTCAAGTAAAAGTTTTTCCTTTGAAATGCTTGCGAGAAGTTGAGAATAGCATTTCCTTTATGTAAAAACTGGCTAAAAGATAATGCAGCCTATTCTATTAGGCTATTAGAGCCAAATTTATTCATCTTCAATATGCTGTAATTTTATTCAGAACCTATTTTTATTCTGCTATATTCTTCAACCCTAAAATTCACATGGCCCAAGGGAAAAACGTCTTGGAATGTATCATCTGTTCCACTCAGTAGTTAGACTGCTGAAGTTCCAACAGCTGGAACATATTCCTGCTTTGCATCATCTCCCTTTATCCCCATGGAGCCCTTTAGACTTGTTCTTACTCCCCCTGCTGTCCTTGGGGGAAAGCTTTTAGCATCTGGTAGCTGGGACTACACGTAAGTTAGATATAGATGCTTTTCTCTGTTGTTTATGGTCAGTATTTCAGTTTTCTAGTTCAGTCTGAGCATGTAAAGCATGACAGTGGAGGTGTGTATGTTTTTCAGGCAGGTGGGAGTTCTGGCAAAGTGAGGAAGGTGGTATGAGACTAGAAACTATGTAACATTAGCTCCTTTGATAAAGATGCTTAAGCTACTTCCTTGGGAGATGAGAAAATTCTAGGGAAATGTAACCGTTGTCTTAAAAACCCTGAAAGGTTGATATTTGAATTCAAAAAAGATTTTGGTGGCTCTTGGAGTCCTAGTAACTCCTAAGGAGTGGAGGATAGTGGGAGCAACTTTTGGCTCAGCCTCAAAAAAAGAATTTTCCTATCCCTATTGAAGCAGAAGCTCAATGACTACTTGTGGTCTTTTTTTAAAAAAATTTTTTATTTTAAAAAAAAATTTAAAAAAAAAAAAAATTTTTTTAACATTTATTTATTTTTGAGAAACAGAGAGATAGCATGAGTAGGGGAGGGGTAGAGGGAGAGAAAGGAAGATACAGAATTCAAAGTAGGCTCCAGGCTCTGAGCTGTCAACACAGCCTGACATAAGGTTCAAACCCATGAAACATGAGATCATGACCTGAGCTGAAGTCGGACGCTTAACCGACTGAGCCACCTAGGTACCCCAACTGCTTGTGATCTTGTAGAGGTGAAGTAAATGGGATTAGTCAAGGTGATGGGACCTGGATGGGAGTTAGGATAAGGATGGCAAATTGGTTTAATTCCCCTGCCAACTGTGATCAACTGGTAAAGCCTGCCTGGAGTCCAATGGGCCTCTGACACTGTCCAAGCTCACGAGGAAGTGCTGTGATTGATTACAATAGATTTGCATGCCATACATTTTCTCCCTCTGAGATGTTACTTCACTATTATTTCCATTCCTTAGATTCTGTGATCATCAGTGGTACTGCTTGGTGTTACTACCAGTTCAATATACCCAGCCAGCTCTGTGCATTCAAAACACAATTTCATATCTACAGTACTTGTCTACTACTTCTTACCTTTTGTTACCCTTGAGTGGTTAAGTATATAATTGTGTTGACCTTTTTAGACTGAAAGATTATAGGAATTTTACTTCCTGCTGTAATGAAATTACAAGGAAGCATAGTGGTATATTGGAACATAATTTGACTTCTACCTTCACCATTTCACTGAGACTACATCCACCAATGGTGCCACAAATGATGTATGTGTTTCCAAAGGCATGAACACTTGACAGCTTCTTGAAATATTTTTGTCTCTTGGCTCTTACCATGCTATTTCCTTCTGCTTTTCTCCCACCTCACTACTTCTTCTTAGTATCATTTACTCTCATCCAAGGACCAAAGTAAGATCCTCTTCAAGAGATGATTAAAATGTATCTACTCTCTCATCTGCCCATTCCTATATATTTTAATTCTGTTCTTATATTGATAATTCCAAAATTTCTAAACATAGGTGAGAACTTTAATTTTCACTCTTTTTTCTAATCCCTTGCTTGAAATTACCTGTTAGAAGATTCACCTAAAACTTGCCATTCAATATGGACTCCTGATCCATCCCCTACTTTGTTTTCTTGTCCTCTTAATCATTCCATAACATAATTAGCCACCCAGGTCCTCATCCAGGAAATGTAAGGATTATTCTTGATTTTTTCCCTTCTCCCACTTCCCACCCCTCATCTATAATAGATTTATCATTATAAATATCTCAACTACATTTTGGCTGTGTCACTTCTCTCTCTCACCATTACTATCACCCTGGAGCAGACTACTCGTGTCTCTCATCTGGACCATTGCAGTAACCTCCTAATACTTGCCCCACCAAAGTTCAGTATTCACACAGTAGTAAGAGTAATCTTTCATTCATTCAACATTAACTCAACATTTAATTGAATACATGGAGGGATTATCATAGATGGAGCTCTTCAAGGCTCTTGGGGGTCATCAGGGAACAAGCAAAGTTTTCTGACTTTGTTCTAGTAGGAGAAGATACACACAAAAAACAGGAAACACAATAAATAAATGAAAAATATAATAAGCTAGTTGATGTACGTGCTGTGGAAAAACTAAAAGTAAAGCAACTTAAAGGAGTTAGGGAGTGCTGGAAAGTGATAGTACAGATTATAATATATAAAAGGAGGTCAGAATAGGTCTCATTAAGATGATCTTTTCATGAGAGAGTTAGCCAAGTGGACATGAAGGAGAAGAATGTTCTAGGCCAAAGAACAGCTAGAGTAAATGTCTTTCAAATGAGACAGTATCTTGTGTGTTTGAGAGACAGCAAGAGAACCTGTATGGCTATAACAGAGTGAGTATGTGAGGAGGAGTGTGGGAAGAGATCACAGTTAACACGACAGAGACTGTAGAGCTATGTGAGAGTATCCTACAAGGGCACTGTAAGAACTTCGACTTTTACTCTCCTTGAAAAGAGGAGTCCTTGGATAGCTTTGAGTAAAGGAGTGAAATATACTATAACTTACATTTTAAAAGGATCACTTTGGCTGCTGTTTAATAAATATTAAAGTTAAGAGTATAATGCAGAGACCAATTAGGAGGCTATTGCAGTAATCTAGGTAAGAGATGATGGATATTTAGACCAGGATGGTAATGGGAGAGGTGGTACAAATTGGTTAGATCTTGGATATATTTTGCAGATATATCCAACAAGATTTCTTGATGAATTTGGTGTGGGATATGAGAAAGATGTTTTAGGAATGACTGCAAGTTTTTAGGACTGAGCAACTGGAAAAAATGGGGTTGGCATTAAATGAGATGGAAAAAATTGAGGAGGGATAGATTTTAATGAGAAGATCAGGAGTTTTAGTCTTGGTCATGAAAACTTTAATATATTTATTAAATATTAGAGTGGATGTTGAATAGCAGTGGGATACACAATTCTGAAGTTCTAGGAGAACATTGAACTGGATGTTGTCAGTATATAGATGGCTTTTGAAGCCCAGAGTCTGGATGAAATCATCAAAGGAGGCTTGGATGTATTCCAACATTAAGAGGCTGGAGAGAAGAGGAGAACTCATAAAAAGAGACTAAGAAGAAGGGATCAGTGAAGCTAGAGTACAAAAGAAAAGATGTAGAGCTTTAAAAACCAAGGGATAACTGATGAATGGATAAATAAAATGTGATATATATATGTATATATATGTATATAAATATATATATATATATATATATATATATATATACACATATATATATATACACACACACATTTACACAGTGGAATATTAGTGATCAACAAGAATGAAATCTTGCCATTTGCAACAATGTGGATGAAATTAGAGTGTGCTATGCTAAGTGAAATAACTCAGAGAAAGACAAATATATGATTTCATTCATATGTGGAATTTAAGAAACAAAACAGATGAACTTAGGGAGAGGGGCACAAAAATATAAAAACAGAGAGAGAGGCAAACCATAAAAGACTCTTAAATACAGAGAACAAACTGAGGGTTACTGGAGGATATTGGGTGGGGGGGATACGCTAAATGGGTGATAGGCATTAAGGAGGGCACTTGGGATGAGCACTGGCTGTTGTATGTAAGTGACGGATCACT